TGTGAGCAGGAGTGAGACAGGGCCAGAGGGGTTCGGTTTGAGCAGGAGTGAGATAGGGCCAGAGGGTCTCGGTGTGAGCAGGAGTGAGACAGGGCCAGAGGGTCACACTGTGAGCAGGAGTGAGACAGGGCCAGAGGGTCTCGGTGTGAGCAGCAGTGAGACAGGGCCAGAGGGTCTCAATGTGAGCAGGAGTGAGACGGGGTCAGAGGGTCTCAGTGTGAGCAGGAGTGAGTAGATCTCAGCAGCAGTCAGAGCAATATCTTGCACTCGGAGGTGACAGTAGCGCTGTCACAGTAGCGCTGCATGTTTAACACACTTCTCTGTCTGTCCAGCAGGGGGCAGACCTGGGGTCAGTGGAAACGATGCCGAGCAGAGTGTGGGGGACAGCGGGGGTGTCAGCGTCACGCTGGCTGCTGCTGGTGACGATCTTCGGGCGTCTGGGGCGCCCCTCCGCAGATCTGTCCTACCTCGGCTCCTCGGTCAGTGTGCAGCCCCTGGGGCAGGGGGCCAGCCTGCAGGTGAGTGTCCCGAGCTGGGGGAGCAGTCAGTCCACTGACTGACCGAGCAGATAGGTTAGGAGGAAGGCAGAGACGCCTGGCTCTGCTCTGAGGCTGCTGACCGAGATTCCCGACTGACCGACACCTGGCTGATTCCCGACTGGACTGGACCGACACCTGGCTGATTTTACGCTGGGTCCGATGACCTGTGGTGTCGTGCACTGTCAAATAGGAAACGGAAACATCAGCTGTATGACAGGAGATGCTGAGTCTGTAGACGGACGACTGACCTCTCGCTGGCAACTGGTCTGGGTTGTGGGCTCATTAGGAGCTAATTGATCTAACAGATCTCAAGCAACTGTTTCCTGAATGCATCAGCTTCAACTACATGGCTTGGCAGCTTGTTCCACACCCCCACCGCCCTTTGTGTAAAGGCCTGTTATTTTGAGGTCTTAAATGCACGTGCCTGTGTAGCTAACAGCAGTTTGACTGTCTCTCAGAGCTCCTCCAGCGCTCTGTGGCGACGCTGACCCAGGTCCTGTCTCTCCAGGTGTCAGTGCAGTACAGTGTACTGGCTGCCCGGCCCTGCCCTGCGGCCCTGCCGGGGATGTGTGGGGAAGACAACTGCACCTCCCTCGCTGCCCCCCAGGGCCTCACACCACACCCCGGCTGGTGTCTCCTCCGCGGGGGGGTTATCGTCCCTGGAAATCACTCCTCTCTACTGCAGCTGAGGTAATAACAACCTATAAGCCCCACCTGCCGGCAGTGGAGGGTGCCTGTGAGTCCTGTCCGTTACAGCATGTCCATCCGTCTGCCCACCGATGCACTCTGCTGTACCAGGTGTTCAGTGTCTTAATGATGATTCATTTACAGATTTATTACTCTCTCCCCTCTCATCCTCTTTCTCCTTTCTCTCCTCCATCTCTCTCTCTCCTCTCTCTCTCCCTCCTCCCTTTTCCCTCCTCTCTCTCTCCTCTCTCTTCCCTCTGTCTCTCCTCTCTCCTCTCTCTCTCCTCCCTCAGGCCCAGTCTGTGCTGCTGGCGTGCTGCAGACAGAGCTGCAGTGGTTCTACCCCTCTCGGCCCAGCTGGCTCTGCGCTCCGACACCGGTGCTGTGAACAGCCCCCCGCAGGCGGCCCTCCTGCCCCCAGTCAGGTGAGTGTCTCTCAGCACCAGGCTGTGCACTGCGAGGGTACTGCAGAGCACAGCCTGATTGCTCTCTGCCTGCCAGGCTCGTTGCAAACTGCCCTCGCCAGATCAATCTCAGCGTGTGGGACGCGGACGGAGACAGGGTACGCTGTCGCTACGGGCAACAGGAGCAAGGAGAGTGCCAGCTGTGCTCCCAGCATGCCTTCCTGCAGATAGACGAGGTGAGGGGGGTAGAGGGCCAGGCCGTGCCCGAGCTGGGAAAGGGGCAGCCAGCCGACCCCCTGACTCTGTCTTGCTGTCTCTCTGCAGGAGCGCTGTGTGCTGAACTACAGAGGCTCTGGGCCCATGGGGCAGTTCTCACTGGAGCTGGTGCTGGAGGATTTCCCCCACAAGCCCCTCAACCTGACCCACGGCACCGACAGAGAACAAGGACTCCCCTCCCTGAGCAGAACCACAGACCCACTAAGCTCCATTCCACTGCAGCTCACCATCACTGGTACCGAAACGCCAAAATCATCGAAGTCATCTACAGAGCTGTAGACACCGTAGAGACACTCAGTCCAGCTCCTCTGTA